GCCCTCTGAGCAGAAGGGAAGCCAGAGATCTCCTCCCCAGTCCTGCTGCTCTGCAGGGCTCACATCCCCTCAGCAGCCCCCAGGCTCCCGATCCACAGGAGGCATCCACCAAACAGGCAAGTGCCTTATTGCAGAGCTTGGGCTGGGGCAGAGCCTTGGGGGAAGCTGTCTGCTAAGTGCTCTTCTTTAGCTTTTCTCCCTTCTTGAAGACTTCCAAGGCAATGAGTCCTGCAAGTGCTACTAAAAGTGGGCACACAAGCCTATTTGTCTTGGCAATGGATTTAACCTGAGGGAGAGTGGGGTTAGATGGGGCATTGGGAAGAAATTCCTCCCTGGGAGCCAGGGGAGGCCCTGGTACAGGTTGCCCAGAGAAGCTGGGGCTGCCCCAGTCCTGGAAGTGTCCAAGGCCAGGTTGGACGGGGCTTGGAGCAACCTGGGCTAGTGGAAGGTGTCCCTGCCCATGGCAGGGGGAGGGACTGGATGGGCTTTAAAGTCTCTTCCAACCCAAACCAGTCTGAGATTCCCTAATTTTCCCTCCCCCAACACACCAGAAAAGCATGAAACTTTTTTTTGTTGAAAAACAAGCTGCCTCAGGAAACAGGGCTTTGTTTCTGGCTCTCAAACACCAGCTCTCTCTGCAGAAGCCCACGCCCAAGGGGGCTGGCCTGGGCTGATTGCTCTATATTTTGGGGGAGATTTGCCCCCAATATCTGCACCCTCAGAGCCTGCGAGCTGTGCTCTGTCTGCACTGTGACTGGGTTTCATCAGCAAAGGGGGACAAGTCCAGACAACCCACAGCTCCTGCTCCTTCCTCTCCAAACACTCCCTAAAACAACTCTCTGAACGTTGGGTCCATAGATAATGAGGTGTATTTAGGTCATTATTTTGAAAACTTCCTAATAATTGAACTAACATTTGGTTACAATGTCCTGCTCTTACTTCAAATAATTTGGTTTAATTTGCCTTGCCTCTTTCCCAAGGCACAAATCCACCTGGCTGGGCTGCAAAACTTCACCTGCACACAGTAGAATGTTTAAAAAAGTCACCAGATACATTGTAAATCAAGGGGATTCAAGCAAACAATCGGTCCCTGTCGAGAGCATCACAGACAACGAGCACTTCAGACCCTTGTGTCTTCTGATAAAAAAAAGAAAACAAAACACCATATTCCACTCACGTCCCTACTACCAGCGCACAGGGTTCAGACTGGACAGTGTGCTGCTGCCTGGAGAAGATGGGAAAAGCACAGGTAAAGCCCATATATATCAACCTGATATATTCAAGTTCACAAATTCCATAGATAATGTTTTGGGGTCACTGGGGTCATGGCTGAACTGTCCCACCTTCCAGCTTTCCTGTGGGTGAAATACTTACAATGCTGAGTCTGTGCCATCCTGCTGAAGCAAATGCATGGAATCATTTCAGAGTCCCTCCTTCCCTCGGGAGATGGTCCAGATTCCAGCCAATTCACTCTCACAAAGGTCACCGCTGACCAAGTCGATGGGTGTCTCAGCCTTAGTGTTGACCCTGCAAGTGTGGAGCTGAAAGGAGGTGGCTCTTTGTCCCAGGCGTTTTCCATCAAGCTGCAGAAGAAGGCCATATCAATGGACTCACTGGAGGCAGTGAGAAAAAATAGGTAAGGCAGGACAAAAGCAGCACACACGCTCTGGCCATCCCCACCCAACCCATGCTGGGTCACACAATGGGTGTTCAACAGCAA